CTCTATCGGGCCAGCACCTGGTGGGGCTTCATCAAGGCCCTCCTCGTGCCCATGTTCCTGCACACCATCTACGACTACCCCATATTGCTGGCCCACCAGGGTCTGTTCGACAAAGACATCCTCTACATCTACCTGATGCTCCTCCTCTACCTGGAGGACAGCATCGCCCACCACCTCGTACTCGACTCGCAGGGAGACGACTGAGGCCTACGAGCTCAGCTGACAACAAAACAAAACGAGGGTACGCCTCCTCCCGCGCTGTGCATTGGTGGGCCGCTGCCGCCGGGTGTGGGCTAATGACTGTTTGTTGCATGCAACAGGCGGTGATGAAGTGGGTGAATGTACCATGACGATGAGTACTACGGCAGCACCCACCCACGTGGCAATCAATCGATCGCCTCGACTTCGGCGCCGCCTCCAGCCGGGCACAGCTCAGTTGTTGGGCCCCTTCATCGCCGTAGATCGTGACCTCCCCTTGCGAGGCCTCGTCCGTCATGGGAATGGTGGTCCTCTTTGGCGATGAGTGTATGTGGTCGGCGAGGTGAAAACATGAAAGAAGAGCAAGGCCCGAATGCCACCTATCATCAACAAGATAATCTATGATAAAGTACTATTACGGATGTCGCGCACAACACGATGCCTCAGGCCCGCTGCTTATCATCTTATTTGATGAACTTGTTCGTCTCCTTCGCCCCACCATCCGTTGTTGACGATCGATGATGAATCAGCGCCGCTGGTGGGCGTAGCGGGGCGGCGGCGTGAATGAGCTGCCTGCTGGCCACCACGCCCCCATCGGCCAGCCACCACCTCACCTCGACCGCCATCGGCTTCCCAGCCAGCACATCCATAGCGGCTTCCGTTGTTGAGCGATGCGCACCGAGTCGGCAGTGGGCGCCGCGAATGGCCGATTCGACCGTGGTCCGCAGGCGGCCGACACAACTCGGTGTGGTCGTTGGCGCGTCGGGCTTCGGCGCGCTGATCCCGGCGCTCGAGCCGCTCGCGAGTAGGGTGAGCACAGACGCGGCGTCATCCTTGGCGCCAACAAGGAAGAACGAAACGGAGAGACGGGGACGACCGCGTACACACCACACACACCACACACACCACACACAAAAGGACCAAGCCGTTGGTTTGGCTCTGAAAGACTGGGTAGGGACCTGATTCTTGCGCAGGTCGTCGAGTTCGGCCCTATCCAACTCGAGACGCGCAGGGATCGCCTCACGCAAACTCACACGCTCATGCACGCGAAGGCAACAGCGGGGACCCACCTTTTGGCGCTGTACGTGGTCTTCGTTGCTCTTGCTGGCCGCTAGCGCGTCTTGCGCTGCACGATCAAAGCCGCTGGAGGCGTGGTCACTGCCAGGTGCACGCATTGGCCTTCCTGGCACTTGGGTCCTCCTCGATGTGTCTTTGGAAGTGTGTTGGTCTGCGTGGAGGCAGCAGGGTTTTACTTCTTCCAGCCTCACTATGCAACACATGTGTGCGCATCACTCATGACCTAGGTCCAACCAAAGCGACCGTCGGCCTTTTACTAACCTCCAAGTGGCTGGAGATTAATCCGGGAAGAACGAGAAGCACGGGATTCCGCGCAACCAACCGGCTT